CCTCATTTTGTTTTCCTAGCCATGCTTGTCTTTCTCACTGATGACTGCAATTTGATATTTGTGAAATCACATCAAAGTACTGCATAATCCTTCCAACTACCCCCCAAACTGTGTAAAATAATTCAGAGGACAATAGAATAGCATACACTCCAACGCGTGTCTCCTTTTCTCTAACCACTCCTGAGTCTCTTTCTCCTCTCTTTCACTCTCTCTCTGGCTAAATAACCTTCTGTACTGTGGAGATAAATGACTGTGCAATATGATAATGTTTATTCAAAAACAGGTCACACAGATTGGAATTTGAGTCTTCCTTTATCCTCTTACAAATTCTCTTCCAAAGGGAATGCAGAGTACTCTTTTCTGCGAATCAGAAATGTTGAGTCTTAATTACTCCTTTAGATTTAACCTGTGGAGAAAAATCCCTTGCAAATGTGTCTTTGGCCCTGAAGACTGCTGAGATCAGAAAACTCACTCTAGATTACTTGTTTGAAATGCACAGTGATGACAATGAGTATCATTTGAATAGTATGTTCTGTATTAGTCTTATTTTCCCCAGAATAACATTAACTGGATGTCCATTTTTGTGGCTGAAAAATTAAAAAGAAATACTATTAAGAATGTCTGTCATAATGTGGACATGAAACTGACTTGCAGTAGGAGCTTTTTATTTAATGGCTGTCAATCTACCCAACTAAAGTTAAAACAAAACAAAACAAAACAAAACAAAACAGAGTCATCCCAAAGAGACGTGTTAAGTCTGTGGGAATTCTTCCAACATTCTAAAGTGTACCACATGTAAGTGATTTCTGTTGTAAAACACATATTCAGATTCAATGGGTTGGATTATTATCTTTTAAGGTTTACTTCCTAGCAAATTGCAAGGGGTCTAATCTTCAAGCTGTAAAATCATTCAACTTTCATTTCTAAATCTAGGCCAAACACAGGGTGGAGCAGGTGACTCTGGAACGATATTGTGACAAAGAACAAACAAAATGCGAGTTGTTCACTTGCTAGCAACTTCTTAATGTAGAATTCTTGGATCAGCCTAGACTTCCTTCCAGAATGCCACAGAAGAACATTTTGTGTCAGTCTGGTTACTGAAATCCCTCTAACACTAAACTCAAATCACGAATCAGAATTCACCTCAACAAGCTTTTAGTGAGTGTTTACTGTGTCATTTGGGTGATGCTAAGTTAATAAATAAATGTTCATTACTTCAGCTAAAGAAAATATCATTCACCCACCCCAGGATATCCACTCATTTGTCACTATAGTAAATTTAAAAAAAGAAGAAGAAAGAAAAAAACATTTTTAGATTCTGATATATCAGCAGTAGTACATAGGATGCTGACTTATTGAGTAATTTCCACCCTGCCATCCTTCACACACAGGGACTAAAGCTCCTTAGAGATGCAAGTTGGATTGCCTGCCTACCGCTCCTACTTGCAAATACAGCTCTCACGTGATTCAGAATCAGAATGCCCGGTATGAGCTCGTCACAATAATCTGGCAACGTCTGTTCTCACAAAATTTGTGGGGAGAGTAGAACCAACCGTTCTGGAAAGCTCTTGAGAACAAGCTGTCTTGTGAAAGTTATATTCCAGAACTTCAGGGAAGGAGATTTAGAAATACATGCAAACTCTCAGTGTTTTTTCTAGATTTAACCACTAGCTTCCTAAACTGCTTCCACTGCGCCCAAGAATCTTTCTATCAACCAAGAAACTGAGATCGGTGGCTTCTGAAAGCTTAGAGAAATCATGAATATATTGTTTCCTTCCTGACATCTATGAAATTAGTGCCACACACACACACACACACACACACACACACACACATATATACACACAGAGAGTTTTTTTTTTTTTTCCTGGTGGTGAAACCCAGGGCCTTCACCCTTCACCCTATCCATTTTTGTTTTATTAAGATAAATTCTCCCTTGTTTAGCTGCCCAGGCTGGGCTTAAACTTTCAGTCTTCCTGCCTTAGTGTTCCAGAGCACTGGGATTACAGACATCCACCACCATGCCAGGCCCATAAAACACATACTTTAAAAACAGAGTTTAAACATGGAATCCACAACATTTACAACTAGGAATAAGGATTATTTCGATCATACTAACTCTTCTGCTAAGTATAGGGTTTGACAGATGCATGGTTGCTGAGAACCAGAACAACATGGTGGGCCAGATATTTGTGTAGTCCATCTCTATCCTCCAGCTCTGTGTGGATGACTGCAGGACTGATTTTTCTTACCTATTTCTTCTCCCACTACAGCCTTTGGGGGCAGAGCCTGTGTCTCCGCCATGTTTGTTTCTACAACAGCAAAACGCTGGGATGGGGCTTCTTTTTCCCCTGCCACCGAACCGCTGAGCTAAATCCCCGGCCCCCTAGGGCTTCTTGTATACTAAATGCTAAATAAGTGTCCATGGAAAAAAACAGGCTTTGAATCATATGCTATATAAACTCCTCATCCAAAAAGGAAGCTTAATTTGTTCAAGAAAGCATCAGGGTGGTCCCTGGAATGGCTGAGAAAAAGAACAGAAATGAAGAAAGCTTTGATCCTTAATGCTGAGACACTGTTTCCTGGTACTTTCTTTTTATTAAGGTTTATATAACCACACTTTATATGGAACATTTTCATTCAGTCTTTTGTGCAAATCCGCTTAAAAATATATCTGCTGGTGAACTAGACTGACTAAAATAGGTAGTGGTGTTCTAGTCTAATGAAGCTATGAAGCTTATTTCTATAGCAGAAACAGTAACGTCTGTTGGGAACAGAGAAGAGGTGAGGAGAGAGGAGGGGAGAGGATAGGGCAGGGGAGGGAAGGGGAAAGAGGGGGAGAGAGACAGGGAGAGAGAGAATATGAAAATCAAAAGTTAAAAGCCTTCACGTTAATTCCCATGGTCCAAAGGAAAAAAATGCAAAAAGAGCACATTACATAACATACTGAACAGTCACCAGCCAAAGATGGACCTGAGAAGATTACCTTGAAAAGTAACTGTGTGAGATACGGATGTAGTTTTCGATTATATCCCTGCCATTTTTGTAAATTTTGTGAATATATTGCCTGCATTTGTCAAAAGAGTGATGGATTCTTCCTTTTGGAATGTTATTTTTCACTTCACTTGATATTATTTTAATATTTCTATGTCATTAGAATAAATTATCTAGAAAAAAATACTATGGGGAACAAAATTATGTGAAATCTAATGTGTGAAATGAGAGCATTCATTCCCTGCAGGGAGCTGTCCGGTGTTTGTACAGAGTGGTCTTTCCCATTATTTACTTCTAGAAGCTTGGTACACCCATGGCCACTTCCACAAGAGACGGGGTCAGTCCTGTTCACAGGGCTGCGATGTACCGCTGCTAAACATTACAATAGCAGTTACATCAGCAATAGCTCACTGTTATCTTTTCTCCTCAGATTACAGCAGAAAGTGACTTGGAAGCCACAGCAAAATCGATACAAGATTTGCATAGTCTGTATGGCGAAACAGCGCCCTGGGAGTTGATTCAGCAGGGTTCTGTTTAGACTGGTCGGGCCTGAGTATTCCGGGCCTCAGCTCTTGTGTACTTAGTATGCAGTTCCCTGCCCTCAATCGGCTCACCATGTTTGTGACAACATAGCTCATTCACAAAGATTAAAATGACCAACAGATCCTTAGGATGAGGGAGAATGAAGAGAAGACTAAACATTCACAAATCCTTGTTGGTTCTGTTACCAGCTCACACTGGGTAATGCCGGGCCAAGGCTTGCCTCAGACTGCATGCAAGAGAGACATCTGTGGGACTCTTCTCCCTCTGGGGAAGGGGAGAGCTCAGAAAGAAGTGCATGTGTGGACTGATTTCTATGGAAGAGGAGTAATGAGAATGAACAAATAAAATGGAGGAACAAATGGGGAACAGGATATACCCCACAACATCAAATTTGGAGGAGATTTGAGAACTAGAGATAAAAGAATTCAAAGGAGAGTTTATAAGGAGCTAACAAATATCTGTTCCTCAGTGGGTGATATTGTTGAAACATGATGTTTGTTGGAAAAAGTTGTTTTAAGCCCATGTCTGGAGAAGCAGATAAAGTTTAACTCATCAGTTGTTGTCACAGAAACTACTTACAACATCTCAGAACACATCTGTGACTGGAGACTGTAAGAATCGAACCCTCAAAGAGGCAGGCTTAAAACTCCAGGGGACCCTAGAATAATGAAGTGGTCACCAAATCATGGGTTTCCTTTATTTCTTTGGTTTTGCCATTAACTGGTCAAGTAAGCAACTAAATGAAACTATGCCTGTTACAAGCAGAGTGTCTTGTTGAAGTGCTGCCAGATGCGGCACCAGACTGTCAGATACTTTCTCTCTTCCCAGTTTCTCCAACTCCAATCCCAGCCACCTTTTGTATCGAACTGAATGTCATTGCATGGAAAATGCTCCTTGAAATTTCTGCTGAATCAACACTAAGTCAGATAGATATGTGGTAGATTTTATCTTTAGTCACTTTGGTTCCCTATGTTATACCAGTCTGTGATGGTAACATTGTGTTATGTGTCTTATTAGCCTCTAGATATAATACACTAAGTAAATAAATAATCCAGAAAGGCCAGAAGGGAGGAAGGAAAGAAGAGGAGAAATACTGACTGCTAAGTCAGTACCCAGAGCCGCAGAAACATCTGAAAACAAATATGGGTTGAGAAGGAAGAAAATGAAGCTTCAGGGGCCCTCGCCTACATCAGTCTTCGAAGGACCTGAGCAAGGCCCAAGCTGTATGTTCAGAGCTGCCTTTCTGGTCTGACTACCCTGTCCAATGCTTATGTGGGAGCAATGTTGGAGCAGTAATGAGAATTAAGGGACTTTGTTAGAGGAAGTTGCACTGGGTAGACATTTAGCTGAGTGTGATGGAATACATTTCCACTGTTTACAGTCACAATGGTGTGTGCTTATGTCACTGACAGTTGTCAATCTGTAAGAATGAGCTCCCTGGATGCTTCTAAATAGCCCTGGGCTTACTAACCTCCTAGCTCAAAAATGTGTGAGGCCAGAAGTCTGTCACATGAACTTGTCCTGTACTGCTGGGACTGTTAATCTTGGTGGCAACTTTTCTGGCTTCAGAGTAGAGGATTAATGGAGCACCCTACTAGATGTTTCTGGATGTGTCACAAAGACGTGATCTTGGGAACTATATATGACCCCCAAACCCCTTCCTCTCTGGCTCTCTTCCCTTGCACTCTGCTTCCTGGTCATTATGAGGCGAGCAGTTCTGTTCCACCATGACCTTCTACCATAACGTTCTAGCTTTGCAGTCAGTTGACCATGGACTGAAACCTCGGAAACTGTGAGTGAAAATAAAAATTTTTCTCCTTTAAATTGTGGGTTTCAGGTACTTTAGCCAAGCAATAGGAAAGCTGCTCCCTACAAACACTCAGCATGGAGAAGAGAAACGGGTAAAATATATGGAGACAGAAATTAACTCTGCCAAAATTTCTACCAATAACTGAATGTGCAAATGTTTTCACACAGAGATCTACTTGGTTCTCGATGTTGTAAAAATAGATACTTCTCTTAGCAGGAATGTGCTTGATGATGTCCTAGAAGCAATTATAAATGTACAACCAACTTGATTTTTTACATGAATTGTACAGAGGAAAATTTATCAGTTTATGAACCTGCACCAGGAGTACAAGTCTTTTTTAACAGCTCACAAATGAAGGAAATTTTATAGACATTTATGTAGGTTTGACATTCATATTATATTAAACTTTATGACATTAACAATAAAGAGTCATGCAAATTGAAAGAAGTGTTCCAAACTTTTACTAATAATCCTACTAATAAATTTCTATCTACAATATGGAAGAAAACACTGAAATTATCTATTATCTCCATAGAAAATATTACAGAATCATTTTGTATTGAAGAGTGACCAGCTACAAAATGAATAAAAACATCAGGAGGCATTTAATACAAACGTTATTTTTCTTAATTTTGTAGTTTTTTGAGATATTTCCTGATTCTTGGTAATGTAAAATGTGTTATATTTGCTTTTACAACTTGATGCATTTATTTTCTTACATAATTATTATGGGCCTGATTCTGCTCTACCCCAAAAATTAATGTGTTGAAAGCCTAACTCATGGTATACAAAATGTGACAGTCCATGGGGTAGAGGCCTTAAAAAGGAAATTAAGTTGAAATGAAATCATTAAGATGGATCTTAATCCAATATAAGTGGTTTTCTTATTTAAAAAGGTACCGAGGAAAGGCTGTGGGAGGGCACAGTGATGGGCATCCATCCAAGAGCCAAGCAGAACGGGCTACATAAAAAACAGCTCCAACAGCATTGGACCTCAGACCTGTCCGCCTCCAGAACCAGGAGAAAATAAATTTCTGTTGTGCAAGTCATCCAGTCCACAGTACTTTCTTAGAGCAGCCCTAGAAAACAGATGCAATAATCCTTTGTTCACAATTCTGTATTTTTAATAATTCTTCCCAAAGTTACAGACTACAATCCTTTATGCCTCACAAAATCTGAACATCATCACACACAATGGTAAGTAAGTCTAACTACTCATTATTTAGTGTACCAACTATAGTAGCTAAGGTCAATGCAGTTTTATTGGAAATCCTTAGTGTTTACACATATTTTATTGCAAATGTTTTCCCTTTATGCAGCCATTTGTACTATGGTAATCTCCAAATGTCTAATGGAGTTGAATCACTTAACTAAAATCTTTATTTGGCTTCTGAAGCATGTTCAACCTTACCATCTACACAGTCTCTGTACAGATTCTTTCAGACAGAACACTAAACACTTCTGAAGTATCAGCCCAAACCTTTTACTAAATTTGTAGTTTAATGCCTTTCCTATCTTTCAGTTTAAATGATAAACAACTACAAGGGACATGGAATAAGCAAAAGAGTTGAGAACTGTGATTTCTTTCATAATTAATATATCTCATTTTCCTTTGTTTTCTAGAAAATGTACAAAGATTTTGTGATCTACAGGGTAACAAAATTGGGGCAGTAACTTGCCTTCTATGAAATATGTTATCATGTGTAAAGTGGGATAATTATTTTTTCTCTGATCATTTGAAAGTATTCTCTTTTCAGGATCAAATGAAACAATGGATGAAGAAATGTTACATTAAAAATTTTACTGTTATTTTATCAAAGGCAAAGACAAGGTACACATCGATGTGGACATATAACCGTCATTAGTCTCCCAAAATTAGGAGATAAAGTTATATTAAAGTCCTTGGACAGCTATTCTCTTGGTCTTTAATATTTTTGTGAAGAGGCAAGATGGCTCTTTGAAAAGCAAAGACAATCCATTTATTTTGTTTCTGACAGTTTAAAAACTTCATTTTGAGTGTTTACTTAAGGGTAATTATTACACTGCAGTAGATTTCTGTGAAAGTTACCTTTTAATTTATAGGACTTTTATTTATAACTTTGTAATTAACTCACGCTCAAAATAGAAAAATTAGACGTCTGATTTATACAGAAATGCTAACACTAAGAATAAGGGGCTATGGAAAACAATGCCTCCCTCTTACCAGATAATTTCTTGCTAAGAAGTGTCTTTTGCCTGCAAAACAGAGGAAGAACAATGAGAAAAGCGGGGGGCAAGTGTGAGTGCGCAGCATGCTTGTGCTTGATTCTATGAATAGCCTGGTACTAGAACTCACAGAACTGCCACAGAAGGCTGAACAGTCTTAGGCTTTGCGTGGATCAAGTTCACATTTCCATGGTTTCCCCAAATAAGGGCTTTCCAAACAAACTTGGCCTAGGCTCACTCATTTGGCATTTCTCTTATAGGAATGCAACTCGATGTTCTACCCAAAGGTTTTAGGAATGACAGTTTTTGGATTTTAGACAGATTTGATTTGCATCAATGGGAAATGTGATTGGTAAATGGAACATTCATTTTGTTTGACTGACTCTAAATTTTAGGTACAAATGACCTGGATTTTATAGTATATTTAAACATTTCCTTTTCCTTTGCCCTTTTATGATATCCTCAAGGATGATATAAATTTTTCATGCAAATATACAAAACAATGTTATACTCCTGGTATTTGGCACGATGTTCATATTTTATGGGTGAAATCATACTGCTTTTATAAAACGGTCATCGTTGACTTCATTACAAGTATTTCCTTCCATGTGGAGTTAACATACTGAAGCAGTACACTGAGGCTGAGAGGGACTTCGGCTTTTCCTGTACCTCTCAGAGCTCAGTAGTACTTTAGTCTCTGATGTTCAAGATTATTGGTTAGATTTCCTTCTCTGTCATTCTGCTTAATTCCATTCCACGGCTCACCGATCATACCTTCCAACCTGCCAAATGATTCATAACTGCTTGTCAAAGCCAGACTCGAAGATGAAAAATGGACACCTGATCTGAAGTTCTCTATTACGAAAACACCTAGGAAGCTTTTCTTGTGTACAACATCCAAGGGCCTTACATTCAGAAAGATCCTCAGCAGCTTAATACACAGGACCAGCTAGAGGTCAGAAGAGAACCTGATTTAAGGCTTAAAACTAGGCTCCTAGGCTCCGGGTGGCTACACATTGGTGAGATTCTTGTTAACACCCTTTTACAAGGGGCAGTGTTGTACACTAGGGTAAGAGCCAAGTAAAGTGGTCTTAGGCAAGCAACATAATCCCTCTCTGTCTCAGGTTCTTACAAAGTGAAAAATCAAGGACTGCTTGGGATCTACATATACTTTCTGGGAAGAGTAACAAAGCCTCCATTATTTGTTTCAATCTTACAGTTACTGGAGTCATCTTAAGTCAAAATCAGAGCATGTTTTTCCTTGCTAAAAGCACTCCAGTGGATTTGCATCTCACTTGAAATGAATGAAAACCTGTCACTGCATTCTCCTCCACAATGGTTGCAGCCACCCTATCTTTTTGTTCTTGTAAATAACCAAATTCAGGAGACTTATCCATATTGTCCTTGATTTGGAATATTCTTCATTCAGGTCTTTTAGAAGACTTGCCTCTCTGCATCATTAAAGTTTTGGCTCAGATGTCATCTCTTCAAAGACTTTCCCTGAGTAGGTTACCTAATTTAGTCACAATCTCATTATTAAAACATTTTAAAGATTTAGAGCAAGTATAACTGCCTGAAATTGTGCCCAATTTTCTCTTCCAAAAACAATATTAGAATATGTTTTTTTTCTGATTGATGTCCATTTTATTGGTTTTTCCAAAGAATGAAATCTATTGATTACTTTTTCTTTTTAATTATTTTTTAAATTGACTTTTATTAGTACTGTACAGAATTAGTACATGTACATAACACATTTCAATTCTGATCTTTCCCCTTCCCTCTGTGCTCCTTTTATTTTTCTATCATGAGATTTATTTATTTATAAGACCTTATGAAGTTTATCACATTCATGTGTGTGTGTGTATTAAAAACCAGACTAACAGGACAAAGAGCACACAACACATGTAAGATGATTGTACTAAGGCAAGGTACAGTTTTAGATACAGTGTCCATGCTGGAATATAAGTTTAAAGAAAACAATCTTATCAAGATGCTGAATCTAATCAAAGCTCTGAAAAATAGGAGTTGAATATAATTTTTCAAACGAATTATCATATGAACTATGTGCTGACATCTAGTAAAATTGTCCTTTTGTTTTAACAGTTTATTTTATTTATATTCGTGAAAGTTCATAAAACAGTTTCTGGATTGGGCAGACTACTTCATATCTCCAAGTACCAGTTTCTTTATCTCAAAAATGAAAACCATAACAATATCTACCTGAAAGTGTTAATGTGAAGATTACATGAGCCAATCCATGGTTAGCACAACACCTGACAAAATAAACGACATTTAACAAGACCATCTATTACTTATATTTCCAGTCCTTGTTATTAGCCTAAGCCCTTGTTAAATATAAGAATAATCCCTTATGTAAACGTGGCATGTTCTCTCTCCTCCCTCCGTATCTGTCATCACATTGAGGTCAGGATCTTTCTTGTAGTTTAGAACTTGAACTCGATTAGACCGTATTCAGGCTCAAGGGAGGGATGGGATGCTTAAGTAGCAGAATATAGGTGAAAATAAAATGAGAAGACTGAGATTGTACATGAAGTGGCTGCCATGTACAGTTTTACACAAGGGTTTTTTTGTATTCTTATCCACATTGCCAAAGCCTCTGTCATAGAACTGCAGTTATTTGGATAAACTGTTTTCAGAGTGGGTGATTCTGAAACCAGCACTTGCTCACTTACTAACAACATCTTTACTGAGTGCTTACTGCTTGTCAGGTATTGCTTGCTATGCAGTAGTTAAAAAGACTAGGCAAAGTTTCCTGATTTCATGACACTTACCTTCTAGCGGAAAGGAATAAAGAACAATCACTCCAGTATAGAATACATTCAATGGTGGTGATAGTAAAGAGGAGATGAAAGAGCAAAAGTGCACAGGGGCATTAGTATGGGGTAATATTTTAGATAAACTACACAGGAAGCCTTCTGCTAAGTGACATTTGAGTGAAGTTCTGTAGGAAGAAAGAAAATGAGCCACGCGGCTATCAGGGGAAAGTCATTCCAAGCAGAGGAAAGCAAAGGCCTAACCAGGCGCATGCCTGAGTGGGGAGTGGCTGTGGACGAAGACGTCTCAGTGAGGTTGGAGAGTTCATGGGTGGCCCAGACTTACAAGCACAGTACTGGCTTTTCTGCAGCCAGAGGTGCAAAGCCATGGGAGGTTTGGGGTAGGAAAGCGAAGTAACAGGACTTACACAGGGTCACTCTGTGAGCAGAAAGAAAGGTCAGACGAGGATGAGAATGGCAGCCACAGAGCAAGAGGAAGCAGCTGTGATAGTCAGGTGGGACGGGATGCTGCTGCATCCAGGGTACTGGCAGAGAGGATGACAGAAGTGGTCAGCTTTCGCTGCATTTAAAGGAAAGATGGCGACATCTGCTACGTGAAAGAGGCAAGAGTGAACTTGTGCTGAAGATTTAAGCTCCTGTAAGAGCCGAATGGCAGTTACCGGGATGAGAACAATTGTGTGTAACGAGCCGGCGTGGCAGTGGGGTTGGGAAGTAGAGTTTCCATGATCGGTCCTGGGTGATACAACACGCTTCACAGGGCTAAGCCAGACAGAGGAAAGAAGAAACACTACAAAGATGTAGGCTGCGAAATCAACTGCAGTGACCAAACTGCATTGCCCTTAAATGAAGATTAATCTGTTGGTAATATAAGCTGGCACAGGAAGGGCAAAAGAGACCAAGAACCTCGCTGGACACAAACGAAAATGAAAAACAAGTCTGTAAAAACATTAAAACACATATGAACAGCTCACAGATTTGTATTAATTCACTTAATAAATTATTCACTAAAAGTGCATGATGCGTTAAAGGTATCATGTCAGGTACTCGAAACATGAAACTAAATAGATACGGTTTCTATTCTTGCAGAGCCAGGTTTCTACTCAGACACATGGACATATAACTTGACTAACACCAAATGAGGTAACAGGATTTGGAGAAACTGGGACCCTCACGCACTGCTGGCGGGAACACAGGTCAGTCCTTTAGAAAGATCTCTACCATTCCTCCAGCGCTGGATATTATGATGCCCTCACGCAGCAGTTCCACCACTAGGTCTACCATTAAGACAACTAAAAACACATGTCTAGAGAAAACTTCTATGCAAACATTAACAGAAGAAATACTACTAATTCTAAATGGCAGGAAAAACCTCAAATATATCAATTAATTAAAGGATAAACATAATGTAGCATATCCATATAATGAAATATTATTTGGCAATAAAAAGAATGGGAGCAGGGTGTGGTGGCGCATGTCTGTAATCTCAGCACTCGGGAGGCTGAGGCAGGAGGATCGCTGTGAGTTCAAGACCAGCCTGGGCTACAAAGTGAGTTCCAGTTCAGTCTCAACTACATAGTGAAACCCTGTCTCAAAACCAACCAACCAACCAACCAACAAACAAACAATGGGGCCGGGGATTTAGCTCAGCGGTTTGGTGGCCTGCCTTGCAAGCACAAGGACCATAGTGAGACCCTGTCTCAAAAAACAAAACAACAACAACAAAAAAGAAAAATAAATAAATAAAAGGAATGGGAGTATCCTTACATGCTAAGGCAAGGACAGAACTAGAAAATGTTAAAGAATACAGTCACAGGAGGCCATATATTGGATGATAGGTGTCTGGAATTGGTAAACATACAGGTATAAAATGTAACAGATGAGTGCTGTCCACAGTTGGACAGTTTGGGGAAAGCGGGAAGTTGACAGCTAATGGACATGAGGTTTCTTTATGAGGCGAGAAAATTGTGATGACGGCTTCACAACTGTTAATATATGAAAAATTTTTTTAATTGTACATTTTAAATTGCATAAAGTTTGTCTAATGCAAATTATCCCAAAATGTATTACATAAGAAAAATACCCAATAGGGTGCACAGTATCATAAAGGAATAAAAAATGTTATGAAAAGTAACGGAAAATTGGAAAATTCCACCACCTGTTGCTACATACTCCAGCTCAGGATTCAAGATCTACTGGGTAACGTAGAAGAGTTAAGGGATGTTCAAGAAATTTTAATGTGAAGCTCAACTTTGAAAAGTGCTTCCCATATTTCACAAAAGGAGTCAGGGAACTTTTTCTGTACAGGACATACAGAACATATTTTGAGTTTTACAAGCCACACAGTTTCTGTGGCCCCTTCCAATCCCTCTTGTATGTGTTGAGAGAACATCCACAGATATTGCACAAGTAACTGAAAACAGATTCGTTTCAATAAAGCATTATTTACAAAAGCTAACACCTGGTGAGAGTGGCCCACAGTTTGCATGGTCCTGGTTCATATTGCCCCGGTTGGCTTTCTGAAAGCTTCAATTCTTATTCTCCTGTCCTTAAAGAGGCCACCAGCACACCAGTTGCTTCCTAAAGAGACTACAGAACACATATCTCTATTCCTTGTATGCAGTGGGGAATAGGATTAAAAACAGGGTTTTTCTAGACATGCGTAATGGCATCTACCTGTCATACCAGCTTTCTGAGAGACTGAGACAACACAGATGTGCAATATTTTCTTTATTCGAACGAAGACTAGACAGCACTCTAGGAGGAAGACCTCAGTAAGCAGAGCTACAGAGATGAGAATTAACTAGGAATACAGCTTATGTGCTAGATGTCAGGATACTCAAAAGAGGAAGACAAAAGTAGAACGTCCCTGGCGAGTTTCGATATATTTCATAACTGGAAACAGCTTCTTCCTTCTCCCCTCCCTCCTTTCTTTCTTCTTTCTCTTTCCTTTCCTGTCCTCCCTCTCTTCTCTCCTTATTCTCTTTTCTTTCCTTTCTTTTTTCTTTTCTTCTCTTTCCTTTCTTTCTTTCTCTTCTTTTTCTTCTGCCCAGCTTCCTCCTCCCCCTATTTCTTCTCCTCCTTCATCCTCTTCTTTCTCTGCTGTTCCAAGGACAGTAATGTTCCACACAGTACAGGTAAGCCCTGGCCATGTGGGACTGGGGATTGAATCCAAGGCCTGAGCTACTGTCTGCAGCCTCCTTTTTTATTTTTTATTTTGAGAGTGGATCTTGATAAGCCCAGGCTTGGCTAGAATTTGTGGTCTGCTTGCTTCAGCCTCCCAAAGTGCTCAGATTACAGGTGTACACCACTACACCTAGGTGGCTGAAAAATTCTTAACATCTGAAAAAATCATTTGCTGACAAAGGACGGCACTTTACCATCGAAAGACTGACTCAGTAGTATGCATAAGATGAAGCGGAGCAGAGGTTGGCTACAGAAAAAGACATCAATTAAATGGCCATTTCAGTGGAGAAATGAGAAATGAAGATAGTTAAGTAAGAATCAGATAATAGATCTGTGGCTTTGTGATATCAAAAAGAACCTGGGGACAAATGTCATGTGGGCTACTGGGGATCAGGAAGTCCCAGTCCAGGGAATTAATGGGCATTTCCCCTATGAATGTTGATCTTTTCCACACTGCAGAGCCCTGGACAATTCCTGCCACCCAGACATTAAAATATGCACACATCTGGTAGATTTGCCTCTGGAGAGGAATAGGGACAATGTTCAGGGGATCTGACCTGGAGGTGTAGCTCTCCCAGGAATTTAACCTGGGGCCTTAGGTGAGGGACACACTGCGGAGCTTTTGAACCCTGATCAGTAAGAGATGAAAACCTCTGTGTGTTCTTACTGTTCATGAATATATGTAATATCCATTAGGTGATATGAAAACCAAAAAGTGCTGTCCAAAGAATAATAACGAATATTACTGACACTGGCCTACTCAAATAATGTCTTTCCTTCTCATTCTTCACACAAAAGCAGGTATTAACAACAGATCTGAGGTATATGTCTGTGCCCTGTCCTATCTGCCTATCCTAACTAAAGACTCTTCTTTTTTGTTGCTGACTTTAAAATTGAGATGTTTAGCACAGAGACTACCATAAAGATGGTCTCTTTCAATCGCCATTCTTTTCAATGCACCCAAAATGTATGTTGAAAAACTTTACATATCCTGACTTTAGCACGATGCACAAAATGCTACTATATCAACACTCTCTATTTTCTTTATCTTAGTAAAAATTACAGTCTGCGAGTCCCTTCAGCAATGAGTCCAACAGTTCCTCTTCTCTGAATCACAACACTTTCGTCTAACCTCAAATTCAAATGAAAAGCAACAGTCTGCTCTCATTCTGGAGCGAGAACACTTCGTGTTACGTTTACTGAGAGATGCTGTGTTAATCTTTATATTCCAATCATTCTTAATGGTTTTCCAAGGAATTTTCATGATAAATGCTGTTGGAATTGAATGTAACATTGAGTGGAACAAATTCTCCAGGTTTTCTAGGATGCACAGCACCAGAGCCTGCCTGTACATTACTGTTTCCAAAACAAAGCTGAGGTCTAGCCTAGACCTAGTTTTATGATATAGAAATGGTATTAAAGTCACATTTGAGAGTCCTTAACCAAACAGTACAGAAAATACACATTCTCTTTCACAGGAAAGTGAAAATAATGTATAGGACCAAAGTTCTGTGAGCAACAGAGGAACGTAGAATTAACACTTGTGTTTACAAATCAGCACAAAGATTCTACTGTATCTTAAAAAGGATTTCCAGTGAGAAAGGAACATTTGTCCCTTTTAAAGACTTGCATATAACAATATTTTTCAAGGAACTCAACTCAGATGTTACAGGAAACACATTATGGCCTACTATAGCATGCGAATTCACGGCTCAGCACATTATGGGAACACAAATATAATCCTTCTTACTCTTCTTTTATAAAACTACAATGTAGGAAAATTAAAGCAGCTAACCTGAAATATAGGCAAGAGGTATTTTATATTTTCTTTAAAAATTTTTCTCAGAGAATTTAATGCCAAATTTCCAAGAAATTCTCAGTGTGATAAAAGATTATTTTTTGAGATAGAAACGTAACTTTTCCATAAGTTACTATAACATTAGAAATAAAGAAAGCCAGTGGAAAAGCTGAATGGCCCTCACTTGGCAATTATTCAGTCCTTGGAAATTTCCAAGCTCTTCGTAATAATTAATTAATGAATATGATGTTTCCCTTCCCGAGGTTGAAAGCACGGCATACGGAGGTCTAGTGGTTTTCCTCAAATTGAAAGAGGAATGTCAATGAGGAAATGGGATAAAAACTAGGAGGAACTCATTCCTCAAAGTTGCAGTCGTAACACAAAGCCACACAAAGCCAGCAGAGAACAGGAGGGTCCTCTGTGTGGAGAGCAGCTGTGCACAGCGATTCTCTGCTCCAAGAATGACTGTGAAGGAGCCCACTTCATCATTCTGTGCCCTGCACACACAAAACATGCCCTGCAGCTTTGTCTCTCCCCCTTCCCAATGCACACACAGATGGCTAAATACCAGCCTCTAACCATTTGCCTTAATAATCGCAGCAAAAAGTACATAATTTCATTTTCATTTTTAAAATGCACAATTGAATAGGATGTGAAAACATATGATACTGTTAAAAAGTACATATTTCAAACTTTTAAAAGTGGCATGGAATCTATTAATGTCTAAGTTCTGTAATAATGTAATAAGCTGTTTTGGATAATTACCTCACTCAAACAGGAGCAAAGTAAAGTTGCATGGCTTCAGGTGAGTGGGCAATAAAAGTCCATCCCACCACCATAAGCAGGCTGATGAGGACAGACCAAGTGCTAATAATGCAGGTGAACTGAGCATCTTAGATGCAGGCTTTACAATGGACATTCTCTTTTCTTTCAAGTGCTGAACACGACTGTCCAGAATATTCCATGTATAAATTGGTAACAGAGCATTTGAAGAGGAACTTGGTACTTCTCACCAGAGAATTCCCTCCTTGTAGATATATTTTTGCTTTCTATCATGTCCAGTTCCACATTTGGGCTAACAATACTCATAGGAGAACTCAGAGGTGAAGTCTGTCTTCCCTTTAGGAATATCACTTAGTGATCCTTTCAGGCAGTCTACTGTGGCCAAGCAAAATTGCTTTCCTATTAGAATAAAGAACCTTGAGAGTAATTGTCCCAACCTAAACTTTTATTGTGATCTTCATTTTCTACAGTTGTACAAAAGTGAGAAGTTAAGTAACCAATTCTTCTATTTTCCAAACTATGTCTCTGTGATGTTAACACAAGGGAGGGCTGTGTAGCTTCATTATACATCAGACAAACACAAAACATTTCTTTTCATAAAAAGATTGTAGAAACAAAGCAAATTGCAAAAATCATTTAGTTGGGTTTTTTTGTTTTTGTTTTTGTTTTTTTTTTTTTGAGACAGGATCTCACTATGTAGTTGAGACTGACGTGGAACTCACTATGTAGCCCAGGCTGGTCTGGAACTCACAGCAATCCTCCTGCCTCAGCCTCCCAAGTGCTGGGATTATAGGCGTGCGCCACCACGCCAGGCTGCAAAAATCATTTGGAATTATAACTCAGAATCTTTATGTTGGAAAATGATCACTGATGGCCTACTTGTAATGTAAATAAGATTGTGTCTAGAAAAAGGGTTACTCCTTGTGTTACTTCTGACACCCAGAAGAAAAATGAAGCTAAACTTAATTTTATTATTAAGAATAATATCAATATAGAAATAATTATTTGTTCTTGGGAGTAGAAAATGGCTCACTCTGCTGAGTACATTATAGCCAGGACTAGAAAAGAGGAATTCTACAAGAAGAGTGGAGAAGCTACTGAGGATTAGGAAAGAATCAAACATTAGAGAGCAACATGACAGAAACTGGTAGACAACATTTGATAGTAACTCTAAACATAAATGGTCCATAATTACCCTATTAAAAGAGACAGGCTGCTGCGCCTGGTGGCACACACCTGCAACCCCACCACCAGGCCACGGGCACACGTGAGTTGGTGGAACCCTTCCCTTCACAAACAACTCTATCGCCTATGGAACTTGCTGTTCACTTAGAGCTCTACGAAAAAAGCAGGCACTCATTCGAGACCGCTGTAGGACAGTTTTGTTATAGTTTATGAAACTGATAATCTTGTCAAAAATATGGAAAGGGCCAAAAAACACACAGCTGAGCCTAATACTCTAATCCATCCCCCCAAATTTACCTTTAAACTAATCAAGGGCTCTCAAGGGCTCTCAAATTTTTGAATCTGACAGCTCCAACTAAAAGCAAAGGAGGACATAGTTCCAATCTAGCGGCTGGAAGTTGATTCAGTTCTTAATCTCACTTTTTCCAAGAAATTCCCATAGATTTCTCTTGCAATGGGGTGAGGAAACAATGTGGGGTTTGTTCAGGTACTAACGGAAAATGTGAACTCTAGTGAGAATGGATCTGTAGTATCATTTTTTAAGCTTTTATATCTTATTAACTCAGTACAGCTAAAATACTATTTAATAGAAAAAGAATACAAAATTATTAATAAGATATTCATTCTGGTACTAAGTCCTCAAAATCTAGGCATATTCCAGTCTTGTGGCATGTCTCAATTTGGATGCTAATTGTTCATTAGAAATACTTGATGGGTATTTAGAACTCATAAACTTAACAGTTGAAAGTACAGATTAATAAATCCAAATTGTTCCAAGTCAATGTAAATATTTCCTAACAGAATCATACATACCAGTGTTTTAAATTTATGCATGCATTAAAATTAAACAATATTTAAAGTCAGGATGTATATAGCATTATATTTTATGTAGTCAGAGGAAGTAACTGTGTGTGTTGGCTTAAAAGGCATCGACAAAGTACTGACGATTAAGCCAAACAACACAAAGTAACTGTCACTAACTAAGACGCTCAGACATTGCTTAATAGGGTCAAAGGTGGGAGAGTAATAGTCTTCCTGGAGGATCAGAACATGAAGAAATAAAGAGCAGCAAAGAAGTCTCTTTATACTGTTACCCTTTCCCGAGAGAAACTGTCCAATGTGTCTGCAATACCTTGCCCCTCTGGGCATCTCCGGTCTCCCAAATCCTTGGTCACTTACTCTAGCCCAGGAGTACTGCAGTTACACATGACAGGAGCTCTGACCACTTTCAAATGGGCACAGCTCCACAGCAGCTCACCTGAGAAGCACCCTGCTGCACACCTCTCACACATGTGAGGTTGCCCTGCATCTGCTAAAGCAGAAGATGCTGCACCTATTTAGTATCTAAGCCAGTGCAATATGTACAAGAAGTTTCTTCTCCATGGAGAGATGCTCTGACCAATAGGATGCATGAGATGGAAGATAAATTGTTTTCCCTCTCTGGCCCAAAACATATTACCGTGTTATACTAAGATTCATACGGCTTGTTGGAAGAAAAATTTTCAAAATTGAGCAACAAGATGCACTTTATAACAGACAGTAGCCATATTAGGAATGTATCTGCAAATAGGATCTGCATTTTACCCTACTTCACTTATTTTCCTGGGGCTGTATTTGTTAACAGAACAAAAGAGAAGCACAGGCAGTATTTCCTTTAGCTCTGCTGTCTGATGAATTTCTTACCTTTGGCTGCAGTGGTGGAGCACAGGGAGCTGCAACAGGATCCGTGATGTAGGTCTTCTTGGGACCAGCGGCTGGATACATGCCAGTAGGGTTCTGATTCCCAGCCACAGGAGGCGTGTATCCTGGTTCTCGCTTCCAGGTATTTGGGTGACCTTGTTGACTATAGGCAGGATCGGAGTCGTTTCTGCCCCCATATCCTGGCCCTGCAGCATAATAGGGATCATAATAGCGCCCTTGGTTGGGTGCATAACCATACGCAGGCTCAGGCTGAAGCCCTTGTGGTGGAACATACGTATAATCTGTGCCTCCTCGGGTTGGAGGAGGTGGACACTGCCCAGAGACAGGCACTGGCTGAGTGTTATAGCCATGGGGGCCAGGGCCATAAATCTGTCCTGATGAAGGGCCAGCCGTGTAGTGAGGGCTGGGCTGAGCTGACTTCACTTGCACGTTGAAGGTAGGCCTCGAAGGGGTGGGTGCTGTGGTATAGGAGGCTGGGACCGGCTGAGGCTGTGGCTTGAGAGTTCCAATGGGAGCCACAGGGATGGGCCCGGCCTGGGGTGCAGCCTGAGGTTTCACTGTAGACTTTTTAGTTGCTGTGAGAGGGGGCTGGTTTGGGATGACCATTCTTTTATGTCCTGTGACAGGGGTGGCCACTGGAGGAGAAGTTGTTGAACCAGCACAGCCCTAAAATAGAAAATACAGAGAGAAAAAAAGATAAAGATTATCGCCAATGATACAAAATTAAAACACACTACTGAACAAATACTAGTAATACGTAACTATTGTCCGTGTACTAATACAGTAAATAAAAATAAGACGTGGTTCTGTCCTAAAAGAAGTCAAAGACTAACACAAAAATCAGATGTGTGTCTGTGTACTCTCAATAAACAATTATAAGAGAAAATTAAAGAGAAAAATCTATTTACAATAGAATCAAAAAGAATAAAACATTTAGTTTAAAATAAAATTTAAACTAGACCAGTGATTTAGGTATATATTGAAAACTCCAAACATTGATGACAATACCCCCACTCTACAAATGGAAAGACAGCTAGGTTGATGGAATGGTAGACCTGTTGTTGATCAAAAATATTCAACTATGTAAATAATCTGCATATTTAGTGCAATATCTAACAAATTTTAATATTTTTTAAAAAAATAGAAAAATAATTCTAAAATTCATACAGAATCACAATAAATAGCTAAAGCATTGTTGAGAAGCAAGCACAAAGCTGTATGTAACACACACAATTTCTGATTTCAAAATATATTCCAAAGCTACAATAATCACAGCATTGTGATGTTGGCATTAAAAGACATACATATAAATGGAGTAGAAGAAGAGCCTAGAAATGAATACACACATAAATCTGATTGCTTTTCAAAGGGTGTTAGAATACACACCAGGGAAAGCACATTCTCTTCAATGAATAGTGATGAGAAAAATGGATATCCACAACCAAAGGAATGAAACTGGACTCACCCTACAACATCAACTAAACTCTGATTAAAGACTTAAAGACGTGAAAGACTTAAGGCCTGGAACCAAAATATTTAGAAGAAAACTCAAAGATAATGCTTCATTGGTCTTGGCAACAATTTCCTTGATATGACCACAGTGGAAAACAACAACGACAAAAATAAACAAGTGGGCCTCTGTCAAACTAAAAAGCTCTGTTCAGTAAAGGAAAGAATCAACACAGTGTAAAGAAAAATCATAAAAAAGGAGATAATATTTAAAGATCATATATCCATTAAAGGGTAAATCTTCAAAATATATCAGGAACACTTAGAAATAGTAAAAAAGTCAATGGTAAAATATGAAAGTAAAACCAAAAATAAATAACCTGGTAAGGAAACAAGTTAAGGATTAGAAGAGATACTTCTCTATAAAAGACATTGTAGTAGCCAACAAGTATATGAAACACAGTCAACATTACTTAATATGAAAAATTGCAGATCAAAACCACACTGGGATACCGCATGAGTGTCAGGATACCTGTTATTAAAAACAAAGTGAAACAAAAGACAACAGGAAGTTGGAAGCCTCATATAATACTGTTAGGAGTACAAAGTGATGCAGATGTTAAAGGCGAAAATATTTTTAAAAATAACTGAAAATAGAACCACTTGTACTGTGTAATCCAGAAATATCCCTTATGGGTGTGTTTATCCAAAACAATTAAAATCAAGATCTTAAAGAAGTATTGGCATGTGCATGTTCATAGCAGCATTTTACAGGAGAGCCAAGATATGTAAACAAATTATACAACGATCAACGGATGAAGGGGGGAAAAAAACCAAGCTACAGGAACACACTGGAATACTATTCAGCCTTCACACATCAGGAACCTGCAATATGCAGCCACATGATGAAATAATCCAGTCACAGAAAGAACAAAGCTGGATAACTCCACTATAAGAAGTGTCAAACACAGTCACTTTAATAGAATCAAGGAGTGAAATGCTACTTGCTATGGGTTTAGAGGAGGGTGAAATGGGGAACATCTAATCAATGGACATAAATGTTTAGTCATGAAATGTGAATAAGTTCTAGAGGTCTGGTGTTCAATACTTTATGATTAACTGTAATGCAATGCATGTTTAAACTTTTGTTAAGAGAGTAGCAAGACAGAAATATATGACGCTCTCTTGACGTGCACAAAACAAGATGTTAAGGTCCTACTCCTAGAGAGAGGAGATAGGAGGTATACATCCTTTGTTCTCATCATAGATCTTTGTTCTCTCACTCATGACAGACTCCATGGCATAGAGATACTTCTTCATCTTCCATTACCACACCCACCAACTACTCTCACTTGCTTTCACATGTTGAAGATACTTGGAAAATGAATGGTGGAAAAACACTAAATAAAAGACTGTTACAGGAATTCAAGTCTCAGAAAATTACATATATATGCATTTATAGATGACTATAATATTTAAACGTGCTTGATTTTCAAAATGAAATATTAAATTATGATAAAAATTCAAAAATTCTTAAAGAATCAAAAATAAAATGAAATGGCAAAAACATGCTTGGAAATACCAAATAAACCAATAACTAGAACTCTTTAGTTCAAATGAATTGAATGTGTGAACCAGATGAATGCTGCCATAGCTCTCTTTAATCATGAAGAAAATAAATAAATATGCTTTAAAATGATCCTGTTTTTTACCCCTTCCCCTTCCAATGAGGTATAATATGTAGGATTCCAAGGGCACATAAACAATAGAATTCATAATACAGCTGGGGACCATCTTCTCATCCCCCACAAAAAACATGGAGAAGGTGATGATTCCTAGATGGTTATGGGTGATGATGGTGATGGTTACTAAAAGTGCCATGATGCCCTCACTCGAAGACGTTAGCAGTGTTTGAAAAGCGTGTGTGTGTGCGTGCGTGTGTGTGCATGTGTGTGTGTGTGTGTGTGTGTGTGCTCATCATGAAGAGACATTTGTGAAAGGGGTTACTTCTTCTAAGGAGGGAAGTCTGTAATAATTTTTTTTTTAATTTAGTCTCACATTCAATTGGCTCCACTCTTCTGGGATGGAATTTACAGCTGCAGCGAAGAGCAGCTGTCATTAGCCTGGTTGCTCGTCACTGTCTCCATTTATAGTTGAGTGGGTAAACTGTTCAGAATATGAACCCTGGGATTTTGCTGATCTTGAGTTATCAAAGAAAGCAATTTCATGTCCTCTTTCTCTCACTTCTGTCTCTCTGTTGACATTTTTAATGACTGACATAGTAAACCAAAAATTACTTAATGATTTTTTTTTTTTTTAGGTTCAACTGGACTTTTCCATACCGACTCATACAGAACATTGGAGTTTTAACTTGGTACTTCTTTAGAAATGTACTCAGCATACATAATTTAATAACAAACTGGTTATATTGATACTATTGGGACCACCTTCAATAGAAAAAAAGAATGCTTGTAAGCGATAAGATTGTTGAGGGAGAAAGAAAGAGAAAGGGGGAAGGGAGAGAAGGGAGAGCATCTCTTTCCTCAAACAAAAATGATGAAATAAATGGAGCAAAGGACAGCGACTGACACTTTATGTCAATAACTGGGAAAGAAAGGAATGATGCAGATTGCGTGAAACTGAAGAATTCCCATCCTGCCAAAATGCAGGTGCAATTCTGTGCCAGCTGAGCACTGCCCATGGAATGTGGATACAATGTTTCTCCTGTGACTTTAAAGTCTGTTCAGGATTTTTGGTTTTTATGAGCACTGTGCAGCTAGAGAATTTCTGGAGGCCCAGTGTAGGGCAATGAGATACACTTTGCCACTTTTGCTCTAAGTCAAAGATGCTGGTAAAATGGAAATAGCTCAACAAAGGGTAACAAGTGCAGCTGAAGGATAGTGCACCAGAACTCAAGAGACATACAGAGAAGGAACCCCAGTTTTGCCACTGTTTCGGGAGAAGTCACACTACTTCTTCAGTTTGACTCCTAATCTGAACAATGAAGGAGACTGAATAATACTGTTATTTTTCTCCTTTTGCTTTTCCAATAAGGAGTTTATTTTTTTCAAATACGGATCTTCCTCCGTAACTGAGATAGAAAATGAGTGCCGCTGCAGAGGGTTGAGGGGAACCCATATGCTTCCTGCTCTTCAAATTCTACTCCTCTGTAAAGCAGATATTCTGACAACCAAAATGTCACTGTGTCCAGAGCCCAATCTGAATACTTACACTGTGTGTAATGTTCATTGATTCTATTACTAGAGATTCATATCAGTGAGGTACAAAGGTAACAGGAAGAACGGAGGCAGGTCTTTCTCAAGTGGGAAGGGGATCAAGAGATGAGGGTGGAGAGAGAGGGGCGGAAGGGGGATTAAAAAGCAATGTACATGTAATTCACATATGGGATGTAAACATTATGTACTGCAAACATTTATTATTAAAAATAAGAAATAGCTTCTTAAAGAAATGAATAGACCCCTTCTGAGACTGCACAAAGAAAAAAAATTCAGAGTTTAGCTATTTCAGTTATAAAGCAATGCCTCATTTGCCACTGCTTTTGGTTCAAAACAAAAATCACTTCATTATTTTCTCCTCATCTAGAACAGGACAATGACATCATTTTGTTTTCTTGAATCCCCATTCCAGATATCTTCCATAATTTGGGGTTTAGTGCATGCTGGTCAATTCCTTGCCCACTGCCCTCACCCTCTCCACTTATTAGATGGTCCCTATGAAGTTGCAAACAACTTGACAGTTTAAGTGTACAGTCTGTGAATATTCTACTAGGCATTTACAGAAACACATCTCAGATTTGGCTGCCCAAAAGAATCACATGGGCTTCTTAAATACAAATTATTCTATACCTACCCATGCAAGGGACCAAAATTCAGAAATCATAAATGAGAAGAGCAAACGATTCTGTCAAACCCAGAGTTCAGAACCACATTTCAGTAAAGGTCGTTAAAGCAGAATAGAGGATCTTTCTTACAAGGAATTGGATGCTGTGAGCAATCTGAGGGTTACTTCAAGTATCTTCTCCAAAAATGTGCATGATTTAGAGCCAGATTCCCAGTCAGTGTCTGTTTCTATGCAATACTATTGGGCAATCCATCCAGGGATTACCTTGGTGATAAGTATGCAGAACCTAACACTGTTGACACGTGTTAACCCAGTAAATTCACTTTTAGAAATTTAGGCTGAGGAAAAAACCACATATGGCACAAATGTTTATTTTCAAGACATATTCACTGGAATATAGTTTATGAAAAGGAATGTAATGTAATTGTTTAATCAAAGTATAGTATGTACAGTAGATGCATGAAGCCATTAAATCCATGCCAAGAAAAAAAAACCTTAATTTTTTGAGACAGGGTTTTACTTTGTAGTGCAGGTTGGCCTTGAATGCACTAGATAGTCCAGGCTGGCCTTGAACTTCTGGCAATCCTCCTGCCTCTGCCTCCTGAGTGCTGGCATTACAAGTATGCACCACTACGACCAGCTAGAAAATATTTTAAAACACCTACACAGCCAAGGAATTTTACTTATGGGTTTTTACCCAAAAGAATTAAAAGCCTGAACACAAATATTCACATAGTCACATGCACACATAATAGCATCTACCTCCAAGAGTCACAAGAAAGAAAACTGAAGTGTCCACTGGTGATGAAAAACAAGACGCGGTACATCCAGGTGATGGGATGTATTCTGACACGTGCTACCAGGGTGAAGCGTGATTATGCTCAGAGTAATAGATCAGGTGCAAAGCTAGTAATATTGTATGATTTCGATGCATAAGGTGCCTAGGACACTGACATTCAAAAGACAGAGCGTGGAACAGAATGTGCATGTGGGGCTTGGGAGTTGCTGTTTAATGGGTGTGCAGGATGGGAAGAAAAGCTCTGCAGATGGATGGGTGAGAGTGCACAACGATGTGAATGTCCATGATACTAAAATCTTGTAGGAAATGCTAACTGTGTGCTTTGTATATTTTCCAACAATAAAATAATAGTAAACAACAATGAAAGCATGCCATCTATTTTCATGTTTTAAAATCAGGATAGTAAGAGTTATTTCATTTCTTTAATCACCAAATATACCATCTACAGCCCACAAGAATAGAGGCATATATTTGTACATAGAATGACTTATTCCCAAAGAGATAAGGCTGTTTACTTTAAGGAGGAAATTTTTATGTATTCTGTAAACTTTTCCTGTTTTCTAAACTTCCTATCACAAACACAATTACTTTTGAATCAAAGGATTAAATATGCATTGTAAAGAAATAACATATATATATATTTCTTACTTGTAATTTCTTAGGAATTACTTATATATGAATACATTTTGTCATATGAGACTTTATATAAATATATCAAAATGTATATTTCAAATAACTATAAAATGTTATTTAAAGAAAACCAGACAGCATACTCAGTGTCCCCATTTCTATAGACATACACATGGAAGAAAGTAAAGAATATAGTAAAATACTAAAAATGGCTAACCTATCTTGAAAAAGCTATAATTTTACATTGGGTGACACAATAAGAGGTATTTTCGTTTCCATTGCTCATTAGTCCCTATCTTCTGCACATCTCCCCTCCTTGAGGGAGCCAGTGCCTATCCATAATACACCCTTATCACTTTTGTACCCCCTTTCCCTCCCCCAACCTCCCCCATCTCTTGCTTCTCTTCCTATTTGAAAAAGATCTATCCCCCTACTTCAATCTATTGCTCATTTTGCTCTTTATTTATATTTGGGTTTTAAAAAATAACCTTATATATGGCAACTGAAACCTGGTGATGAGTTAAAACAACCTCAAATATTGCTAAGTGAAAACACACGCTTTTAATTGGTGCCACTGAGTTCAAAACATTGGTGTCAATACAGGGATATTATAAACACATTTTTAATTCCTGATGGGCATATAAACCCAAACCACAAGGCACTCTCTCTCCCTTTCTCTTTCTCTCTCAGTCACACACACACACACACACACACACACACACACACACACACACACACACATCTTGAGTCCTCCACATACTTCCTGTCAGAGATGCAGGCAGAGATATCGTACTTCTGTGCAATGTATCAGCACCTGCTCACTTCACAGTGCTGAGCCCTGCAAACACACACTACAGCTAGTGACGGACTATTCTTAATAACTCCTGAGGCAGAAATAGCGGAAACAGTACAGTCTGATGTGGCACTCCAAAGCAGTTTTTGTCTTAAAAGTTTTTCCATTTAATTAATTCTCACACCACTTCTGATCGAGTATGAAATGCTGTGAAGACAAGCAGCTCCCTGGACTACTGGAGACATCAATGCCAGCATGTCACACTGTTTTCTCAGACACAAAATCAGCCAAGTGGGAGCCCTCAAATGCTACCACAAATTCTTTATTTCTTACTCCCTAAATATTAAACAAAGAAGTAATGACCCAGGTAAGTCCCCACATTCACATACTCATTAAATGTGTAGGCCCTTTTGAAGTCCATTGAGCCAGTGTTTGAGAAGCGCTCATACCTCTCCAGACAGCTTTACTCAAGGTGTGTCGGCAGCCACAAACCTGAGGTCTCTGAGCCGCCTCCATATGAACCACACAGCGCCCTTAGTTTCTAGCATGCATGTGTCTGGCATGGGGGGAAGTGTCATTGTGACGAAGGTTAATTAAATCTGAGCAGGTTCTATAATCTAGGAATGCAGTGAGAAAGGCACCTACTTCCATAGCAAGCAATAGCATTTTCCAAATCATCCCTCAAGGGCTGAGCACTCTTCCTCAGGACATTAAATTGGGACAAGGATTTAGTGGAAAATACCGCACGCTGAACCATTTAGTCAGGAAACAATAAAACCCAATCCTGATGAGAACAGTACAGGTGCATCTTTTACATGACTGGTAGCAAGTTGGGATAATTATTTGGGCGTGCAAGCTTGCAAAGAAGAGCTATTAAAATGTTCACAAATTATAGTATTTATGTTAAGGAAAAAATGCAGTATGGTTGAGGAAATCACGATACACTGATCTAGTGGAATATTATTCTGGAAATGAAGGGAACAGGTACTCAATGAAACAGGAGAATGTGTATGCTGACAAAAACTGCAAACTAGTTATGTTCTAATGTTAAATAACTCAAAGATTTAGCAATGTGATTGAATAGTATAAATATGGTCATGCTATTTTTTTCTCTATATGATATTGTAAATATTGCTGATTCCAGTGATCACCTTTGGTGTTTCTGGTTCTGACTATTAGCTTATTGGTACCCTGTGTACACTATCACGGGTGATTAAGTTTAATGAAATAAATAAGTAAACAAACACCTGTTTATGTAGATTTGGGGTTTTTTTTCTTCTTTTTTGTAAACTGTCTTCTTGTTTTTCTCTAGCACATACTCTTTATGAGGCAACCAGAACACCTTTAAAACTCCAACCTGATCCTTGTCTTCATGTATTAAAATTTTCCAAGCATCCTCATTGCTTTTAGAATAAAGTCCAAACCCTTTCCTGACAGAAGTACAGTACTGCTTTCCAGTCTTTTCTTTCCTTCTAGATTGTATTCAGGGCTCAGGGCTACTACTGTTACCCTGATTTGTATGCTTTTCATCCCGCTTCCATTGCCCAAGTCTACCTGGGATTCATCCTTCAGATTTCAAATGAAATGGCACCACT